CCCCTCCTTTGCAGTTATTTTGTAACTATTTCTTTATTATACTTATCTAAACATTTACTTAGATCTATTTCACAGTTTTGACATCCTAACCATTGTTGCATTTGTTATACATGTTGAATTAGAGCTTTAATAACATTTCTCTTTGTTCTAGTGGGAAGTATACACCAGGGAGCCTGCTGCCTTTTAATCCTTTTCCACAAACAGCTCAACCTTGAGTAAAGCATCAACCCCTTCTCCTACACTAACATTTGGCTTGATTAAAATTCTACAAAGCAATGGACATTTTGGGGATTTTGAAACTAAGCACTTTTCCCTAAAATTAGAAATACAGCAATCATCAGGGCTGGCTCTGTGGCTCAGCAGGTTAAAGCCCTGGCCTGCAGTTCCGGCATCCCATATGGGCACCGGTTCTAGTCCCGGTTACTCCTCTTCCAGTCCAGCTCTCTGCTGTGGCCCGGGAGGGCAGTGGAGGATGGCCCAAGTGCTTGGGCCCCTGAACCCACATGGGAGACCAGGAAGAAGCACCTGGCTCCTGGCTTTGGATCGGCGCAGTGCCGGCTGTGGCAGCCATTTGGGGAGTGAACCAACGGAAGGAAGACCTTTCTCTCTGTCTCTCTCTCTCTCTCACTGTCTATAACTCTACCTGTCTCTGTGGCTCTGCCTCTCAAATAAATAAATATTAAAAAAAAAGGGACAAGGAAAGTGAAGGGCTGAAAAAATATACATCAGGCAAATGGAAACCAAAAATGAACAGGCATAGCTACCCTGATATCAGATAAAAGACTTTTATGAACTATAAAAAAGAGATAAAGAAGGGCATTATATTTTTATTTTTTTAAGATGTATTTATTTGTTTGAGAGGTAGAGCTACAGTCAGAGAGAGGGAAAGACAGAGAGAAAGGTCTTCCATTCGCTGGTTCACTCCCCAAATGGCTGCAACAGCTGGAGCTGGACCTATCCAAAGCCAGCTTCTTCCAGTTCTCCCACACTGCTGCAGGGCCCCAAACACTCAGGCCATCTTTTATTTCTTCCCCAGGCCACAGCAGAGAGCTGTATTGGAAGAGGAGCAGCTGGAACATGAACCAGTACCCATATGGGATGCTGGCATAGCAGGAAGAGGCTTAGCCTACTATGCCACAGCACCAGCCCCAGGGCATATTTTGATAAAAGGTTCAATTCTGCAAGAAGACTTAACAATCATAAATATATATGCATCTAACACAAGACGAATCAAATAAATACAGAAAACACTATTAGGCCTAAAGGGAGAGACTGAATCCAATACAATAATAATGAGTGACTTCAACACTCCACTCTTATCAAAGGACAGATCATCCAGACAAAAAGTCAATAAAGATACATCAAAGTTGAAGCATACTATCGAGTAAATGAACCTAACAGAAATTTACAGGACATTTCACCAAACAGCTAGAGTATACACTCACCTGCACATAGAACATTTTCTAGGATAGGCCACAAATCAAGTCTTAGCAAATTTAAAAAGACTGAAATCATACCATGTATCTTCTCAGACCATAAAGCAATAAACCAGGAATCAACAACAATAAGAACAATAGAATACTCATAAATACTTGGAAATTAAACATGCTACTAAATGATCAATGGATCACTTAAAAAATTAAAAAGAAAGTCAAAAAATTTCTTGAAATACAGGAAAATGAAAACATAACATATCAAAACCTGTGGAATACAGCAAAAGCAGTATTAAGAGGGAAATTTATAGCATTAAGTGCTTACATTTTAAAAACAGAAATGGGGGCCGGTGCTGTGGCGCAGCGAGTTAATGCCCTGGCCTGAAGCGCTGGCATCCCATATGGGTGCCGGTTCAAGACCTGGCTGCTCCACTTCCGATTCAGCTCTCTGCTATGGCCTGCGACAGCAGTAGAAGATGGCCCAAGTCCTTGGGCCCCTGCACCCATGTGGGAGACCTGGAAGAAGCTCCTGGCTTCGGATGGGCGTAATTCTGGCTGTTGCGGCCAATTGGGGAGTGAACCATTGGATGGAAGACCTCTCTCTCTCTGCCTCTCCTCTCTCTGTGTAACTCTTTCAAGTAAAATAATAATAAATAGATCTTTAAAAAAAGAACAGAAATGGCTCAAATTAAAAATCTAATGATGCACTTTGAAGATTCAGAAAAACAAGAACAAACCAAATGCTAAATCAGCATGAGATAAGAAATAATAAGGATCAGAGCAGAAATAAATGAAATTGAAACTAAAAAAAAAATACAAAAAAATAAATAAAACAAAAAGTTGTTTTTTTGAAAAGAGAAAACAGATAAACCTCTAGTCAGACTAACAAACAAAAATTCAAGTAAATAAAATTAGAGAGGAAAAAGGAGACATTGGGGCCGGCACTGTGGCAAAGCAGGTTAAACCCCCAGCCTGCAGCTCCAGTATTCCATAGGCACCAGCTCCAGTCTTGGCTGCTCCACTTCCCATCCAGCTCTCTGCTATGGCCTGGGAAAGCAGCAGAAGGTAGCCCATGTCCTTTGGCCCCAACACCTACATGGGAAACTCAGAATTAGTTCCTGGCTCCTGGCTTCATTTGGGCACAGCTCTGGCCATTGTGGCCATCTGGAGAGTGAACCAGCAGATGGAAGACCTCTTTCTCTCTCTCTGCCTCTCTGTAACACTGCCTTTCAAATAAATAATCTTGATAAAAATAAAAATAAAAGAATAAAAAGACACTGGTGTAGGGGATGACTTCTTGGATGAGACCCCCAAAGCACAGGCAGCAAAAGCAAAACTGAACAAACAGGACTATATAAACTCAGCAGCTTTTGCACAGCAAACAAAATGATCAATACAGTAAACAGACATCCAACAGACTGGGAAAAATATTTCCAAACCACTTATCTGGCAAAGGATTAATATCTCAAGTGTATCAGCCATTTAAAAAACTCAACAGCAAAAAAAACAAGCAATCCTGTTGAGACAGGAGCAAAGGACTTCAAAAGACAGTTCTCAAGCAGAAGTATAAATGGCCAGCCAATACTTGAAAAATGCTCAACGTCATGAGCCATCAAGAAAATGCAAACCAAAACCACACAGAGATACCACCTCACCCTAAAATCCCTAACACAGAGTAACAAATGCAGAGGAGGATGGGACAAAGGGGAGCACTGACACACTGTTTGTGGGAATGTAAATTAGTGCAGCCACTGTGAAAAACAGTGCAGGGGCCAGCGCTGTGGCACAGCAGGTAAAGCCACCGCCTGCAGCACCAGCATCCCATATGGGCGCTGGTTTGAGACCTGGCTGCTCCACTTCCAATCCAGCTCTCTGCTATGGCCTGGGAAAGCAACAGAAGATGGCCCAAGGCCTTGGGCCCCTGAACCCACGTGGGAGACCCGGAAGAGGATCCTGGCTCCTGACTTTGGATCGGTGCAGCTCCAGCTGTTGCGGCCAATTGGGGAGTGAACCAGTGGATGGAGGACCTCTCTCTCTTTGCCTCTCCTTCTCTCTCTGTGTAACTCTTTCAAATAAATAAAAACACAGAAAAACAGTGGAGAGTTCTTAAAAAAAAAAAAAAACAACTGGAAACAGACTTGCCATATGATCCAGCAATTCCACTACTGGGAATATACCAAAAAGGCTTGAACACAATGTATCAAAGATTTACCTGCACCACCATGTTTATAGCAGCACTGTTCACAATAGCCAAAATTCCGAAACAACTGAGGTATACATCATCTGATGAATGGATAAAGAAAATGCGGTATATATACATAATGGAATATTATTCATCTATAAAAAGGAATGAAATTCTACCATTTGCAGCAAAATGGATGCAACTGGAAAACTTCATGTTGAATGAAATAAGCCAACCCCAGAAGATAAATATCACATGTTCGCCCTGATTTGTAAAAGAAAGAAATATGTATATCTGAGAGACCTGAGCCTGGATCAAGGTGCAACTATTTTAAAATAGGACTCCATCTTGTAACTTGGGCCTGACCAGGTCCTGAACCCTGAGCCAGGAGCTCCTAAAAATAAATAAATGAACTCCCCTTGCAATAAACTCTCCTAGCAACAGCCAATTAGCAGATAACAGAGAAATACCTAGAGATCCTGGTGTCTTCTCAGGGCAGTTAAGGTGATTGATAACTTCCAAGACCCTGCGGTTTGGCACTACACCCTAGCAGCTCGGACCCTATATTTCAGCCAATCAATTTAAAAGACATCAACCCTAAAGCCATCCAACCACCTTTACTATGTCCATTCCTGCCACGGGATGCACTAATCAGTTCTAAGAGATGTCCTTTGAATTTCCCACGGGATGAGATGATTTGCTAAATGGTACCATAATGTATAGAATGTCTCTGAAAACCCTATAAAAACCCTGTTTGTTAACTGAAGGGTCGGGGCAAAGGAAGACCTTTCTCTCTGTCTCTCTCTCACTGTTCACTCTGTCTGTCAAATAATAAGAGATAAAGAGAGTCCAGGCCCAGACCTGTAATAAAACTCTCGTGTGCTTTACAGCGTTATTGGCTCCTTGGTGGTCTTTGGGGACAACTGAACTGGGCATAACGTATCAGCATTGCTGAAAATATAGTCTTGTGAAACTTTGTTTTCTATCTGTCAAACCAATGGATAAGAATGTTACACTGGGGCCAGTGCTATGGCGTAGCGGGTAAAGCTGCCACCTGCAGCGCTGGCATCCCACATGGGCACCAAATCGAGTCTCGGCTGCTCCACTTCTGATCCAGCTCTCTGCTATGACCTGAGAAAGCAGTAAAGGATGGCCCAAGTCCTTGGGGCCTGCACCCTTGTGGGAGACCTAGAAGAACCTCCTGGCTCCTAGCTTCAGATCGCCACAGCTCTGGCCGTTGTGGCCAACTGGGGAGTGAACCAATGGATGGAAGACCTCTCTCTTGCCTCTCCTCTCTCTGTGTAACTCTGACTTTCAAATAAATAAATCAATCTTTTTTAAAAAATATTTTTTAAAATTTATTTTATTTGTGAGGTAGAGTTACAGACAGAGAGAGGGAGCAAGAGAGAGAAGGTCTTCCATTCACTGTTCAGCTCCCAGATGGCCACTATGGCCAGAGCTGAGCAGATCTGAAACCAGGAGCCAGGAGCTTCTTTGGGGTCTCCCATGCAGGTGCAGGGCCCCAAGCACATGGGCCATTTTCTAATGCTTTTCCAGGCCATAGCAGAGAGCTGGATGGGAAGTGGAGCAGCCAGGTCTCAAACCAGCACCCATACAGGATGCTGGTGCTGCAGGCAGTGGCTTCACCTGCTATGCCACAGCGCCGGCAGTAGCAGCCATTTGGGGGGTGAACCAACGGAAGGAAGATCTCTCTCTCTCTCTCTCTCTAACTCTGCCTGTCCAAAAAAAAAAAAAAAAGTGAACCAGCAGATGGAAGACCTTTCTGTCTGTCTCTCTCTCTCTAACTCCACCTCTCAAATAAATAAATAATTTTTTTGACAGGCAGAGTGGACAGTGATAGAGAGAGAGACAGAGAGAAAGGTCTTCCTTCTGTTGGTTCACCCTCCAATGGCCGCTGCGGCTGGCATGCTGCAGCCGGCACACAGCGCTGATTCGATGGCAGGAGCCAGGTGCTTCTCTTGGTCTCCCATGGGGTGCAGGGTCCAAGCACTTGGACCATCCTCCACTGCACTCCCGGGCCACAGCAGAGAGCTGGCCTGGAAGGGGGGCAACCGGGACAGAATCCGGCACCCTGACCGGGACTAGAACCCGGTGTGCCAGCGCCGCAGGCAAAGGATTAGCCTATTGAGCCACAGCGCCAGCCAATAAATAATTTTTTAAAAAAGAGCTATATGTCAACAAATTTGAATATCTACAAGAAACGGATAGATTCCTGGACATATACAATCTACCAAAATTGATTCATGAAGACATAGAAAAACTAAACAGACCAATAACCAAGACAGAAATTGAATCAGTAATAAAGACTCTCCCAACAAACAAAAGCCCAAGACCAGATGGCTTCACTGCTGAATTCTATCAGACATTTAAAGAACTAATTCCAATCCTTCTCAAGCTATTCAAAGCAACTGAATGAGAGGTAATCCTCCTAAACTTCTTCTAGGAGGCCAGCATCATCTTAATCCCTAAACCAGAAAGACACAACTGAGAAAGAGAACTGGGGCCGACGCTGTGGTGCAGCAGGTTAACACCCTGGCCTGAAGCTCTGGCATCCCATATGGGCACCGGTTCTAGTCCCGGCTGCTCCTCTTCTAATCCAGCTCTCTGCTGTGGCCTCGGAAAGCAGTGGAAGATGGCCCAAGTGTTTGGGCCCCTGCACCCACTTGGGAGACCCAGGGGAAGCTCCTGGCTCCTTGCTTTGAATTGGCGCAGCTCTCCGGCTGTTGCAGCCATCTGGGGAGTGAACCAGTGGATGGAAGACCTCTCTCACTGTCTCTACCTCTCTCTGTAACTCCTTCAAATAAATAAAATAAATTTTAAAAAACAAAAAGGGAACTATAGGCCAATATCCCTGATGAACACAGATGCAAAAATCCTTAAAAAATCTAAGATAATCAAGTCCAACATCACATCAGAAAGATCATTCTGATGATCTTTATCCCAGGTATGCAGGGATGGCTCAACATCCTCAAATCAATAAATGTGATACACCACATAACAAACTGAAGAACAGAAACTATATGCTTATTTTAATTGATGCAGAGAAAGCATCTGATAAAATACAATACCCTTTCATGAAGAAAACCTTAAGCAAATTGGGTATAGGAGGAATATTCCTCAACATAATCAAGGCAATTTATGACAAACCCACAGCCAGCATCTTACTGAATGGGGAAAAGCTGGAAGCATTCCCATTAAGATCCAGAACCAGGGGCTAACGCCATGGCTCACTTGGTTAATCCTCGCTGACATCCCACATGGGCACTGGGTTCTAGTCGCAGCTGCTCCTCTTCTGATCCAGCTCTCTGCTGTGGCCCGGGAGGGCAGTGGAGGATGGCCCAAGTGCTTGGGTCCCCGCACCCACATGGGAGACGGGGAAGAAGCTCCTGGCTCCTGGCTTCAGATCGGCACAGCACCGGCCATAGCAGCCATTTGGGGAGTGAACCAACAGAAGGAAGACTTTCTCCCTGTCTCTCTCTCTCTCTCTCTCACTGTCTATAACTCTACCTGTCAAATAAATAATTTAAAAAAATTTTAAAAAGATCCAGAACCAGACAAAGATGCTCACTCTCACTATTGCTATTCTATAGTCCTAGAAGTTTTAGCCAGAGCCATTAGGCAAGAAAAATAAATCAAAGGGATACAAATTGGGAAAGGAGGAAATCAAACTATCCCTATTTGCAAATAACATGATTCTAAATATAAGGAATCCGAAAAACTCCACTGAGAGACTACTGCAACTCATAAAAGAGTTTGGTAAAGTGACAGGATACAAAATTAACATAAAAAACCAATAGCCTTGCCCCTCCTCCAGCGGCACTCTGGGACCATGGCCGACCCTGGCGTGAGGCAGATCAAGATCAAGACTGGCGTGGTGAAGCAATTGGTCAAAGAAAAAGTAATGTATAAAAAAGAAGCAAAACAAAAAGAAAAGATTGAAAAAATGAGAGCTGAAGATGGTGAAAATTATGCCATTCAAAAGCAGGTGGAAACCCTGCAGGAGTCCTGCATGATGATCCCACATTGCCAGTGCAGGCTGGAAGCCATGTACACTGACCTTCAGCAGATACTAGAAAGTGAAAAAGACTTGGAAGAAGCTGAAGAATATAAAAAAGCCCTGCTAGTACTGGACTCACTGACATTAGAAGCCTGAAACCTGTCTACACAGGGTGCTTTTTGCACTAAATCCTGGGGCCCATTCTACAATTCATTACTTTGACCACTGCTCTGTTCAAGTCATCTAAGCATGTGATTTTTTATATGCAGTTACATATATTTTTCTTTGCCTAATTTAGTGCATCAATGAGTTTATCTAATAAGCTTGTTTATTTCAGATTTTATAAATATTCTAATTAACCTTTTTGACAAAAATAAAATCTGTTAGATTCTGTTAAAAAAAAAGCCTTTATATACATAGGTAATGTTATGGCTGAGAAAGAACTTCAAAGATCAATCCCATTCACAATAGCTACAAAAAAATTAATTATCTTGGAATAAATTTAAACAAGGATGTCAAAAATCTCTATGATGAAAATTACAAAACATTACAGAAATAGAAAAATACACAAAAAGGGAAAATCTTCCATGTTCATGTACTGGAAGAATCAATATCATCACAAAGTCCATACTTCTGAAAGCAATCTAGAGTATATGTGATACCAATGACATTCCTCTAAGACCTGGAAAAAAACAATGCTAGAAGTCATATGGAAACACAAGAGACCCCGAATAGCTAAAGCAATCTTACACCACAAACACAAAGCTGGAGGCATCACAATACCAGATTTCAAGACATATTACAGACCAGTTATAATCAAAACAGCCTGGTACTGGCACAAAAACAGATGTGTACACCAATGAACAGAATAGAAACTCCAGAAATCCATGCATCTACAACCAATTAAACTTTGACAAAGGAGCTAAAATCAATTCCTGGAGCAAGGACATTCTCTTCCACAAATGGTGCCGGGAAAACTGGAGCTCCACATGCCCTGAAGTATGAAACAAAACCCCTACCTTACACCTTACACAAAAACCCACTCACAATGGATCAAGGACCTAAGTCTACGACCTGATGCCATCAAATTACTAGAGAACACTGGGGAAACTCTGCAAGACATTGGCGTAGGTAAAGACTTCTTGGAAAAGACCCCAGAAGGGCAGGCAACCAAAACCCAAACTGACAAATGGGATTACATTAGGCTGAGAAGCTTCTGCACTGCAAAAGAAACACTCAGTAGCAACTGAGGGGACAGCACTGTCAGTAGGGAAAGCCACTGCCTGCAGTGCCGGCATCCCATATGGGCACCAGTTCATGTCCCGGCTACTACACTTCTGATCTAGCTCCCTGCTATGGCCTGGGAAAGCAGTGGAAGATGACCCAGGGCCTTGAGGCCCTGCACCTGCATGGGAGACCTAGAGGAGGCTCCTGGCTCCTGGCTTTGGATCGGCAAAGCTCCAGCCAATGTGGCTGGTTGGGGAGTGAACCAGTGGATGGAAGACCTCCCCCCCCCCCCGCCTCTCCTTCTCTGTGTAACTCGGACTTTCAAATAAATTTTAAAAAAATGTTCTTGGTGAGAAAATTTAAGAAAGAGAATTAAAGAAAAAGAGACAACTAACAGAACGGGAGAAAATATTTGTAAACTATGCAACTGATAAAGAATTAATATCCAGAATCTATAAAGAGCTCAAGAAATTAAAAATAGGGCTGGCATTGTAGTGATGAGGGCTAAGCCTCTGCCTGCAGCACTGGCATACCACAGGGGCATTGGTTCGAGTCCTGGATGCTCCTCTTCTGATACAGCTCTCTGTTTATGGCCTTGGAAAGCAGTGAAGGACAGCCCAAGTGCTTGGGCCCCTGCACCCACGTGGCAGAAGCAGCTCCTGGCTCTCAAACAGCTCAGCTCCGGCCATTGCAGTCATTTGGGGAGTGAACCAGCAGTTGGAAGACCTTTCTCTCTCTCTCTCTCACTTTTTTATTTATTTATTTTTTAACAGGCAGAGTGGACAGTGAGAGAGAGAGAGACAGAGAGAAAGGTCTTCCTTTGCCGTTGGTTCACCCTCCAATGGCCGTCGTGGCCAGCGCGCTGCGGCCGGCGCACTGCGCTAATCCGATGGCAGGAGCCAGGTGCTTCTCCTGGTCTCCCATGGGGTGCAGGGCCCAAGCACCTGGGCCATCCTCCACTGCACTCCCGGGCCACAGCAGAGAGCTGGCCTGGAAGAGGGGCAACTGGGACAGAATCCGGCGCCCCGACCGGGACTAGAACCCGGTGTGCCGGTGCCGCAAGGCGGAGGATTAGCCTAGTGAGCCACGGTGCCGGCCCCCTCTCACTTTCTATAACTCTGTATCTCTTAAATGAATGAATAAAACCTTAAAAAATACGAAGTTCAACAACAACAAAATAAACAACCCAGTTAAGAAATGGGCAAAGGACTCAGGCATTTTTCAAAATAAGAAATTCAAATGGCCAATAGATACTTGCAAAAATGTTCTGGATCACAAGCCATCAGAAAAATGCAAATCAAAACCACAACAAGGTTTCACCTTACCCCAGTCAGAATGGCTCTCATACAAAAATCAACAAACAACAAATGCTGGCAATGATGTGGGGGAAAAGGTACTCTAATCCACTGTTGGCTGGAATGTAAACTGGTGCAGCCACTATGAAGACAGTATGGCGATACCTCCAAAAATCCAAATATAGACCTACCATATGAGCCAGCCATCCCACTCCTGGGAATTTACCCAAATGAAAATAAATCAGCATATTAAAGAATTATCTGGGCTGGCGCCGCGGCTCAATAGGCTAATCCTCCGCCAGCGGGGCTGGCACCCTGGGTTCTAGCCCCGGTTGGGGTGCTGGATTCTGTCCTGGTTGCCCCTCTTCCAGTCCAGCTCTCTGCTGTGGCCCGGGAGTGCAGTGGAGGATGGCCCAGGTGCTTGGGCCCTGCACCTGCATGGGAGACCAGGAGAAGCACCTGGCTCCTGGCTTCGGATCTGCACAGCGCGCCAGCCACAAGGTGCCAGCCCGTAGCGGCTACTTGGGGGGTGAACCAACGGAAAAAGGAAGACCTTTCTCTCTGTCTGTCTCTCTCTCTCACTGCCTAACTCTGCTTGTCAAAAAAAAATTATCTGTACCACGTTCATTGCAGCTCAATTCATATAACTAAGATATGGAATCAACCCTGATGTCCATCAACTGATGACTGGATAAAGAAATTATGATACACACACACACACACACACACACTATGGAGTACTACTCAGTTGTGAAAAAAAAGCAAAATGGGAGCCGGCACAGTGGCATAGCAGGTAAAGCAGCCGCCTGCAGCGCCAGCATCTCATGTGGGTGCTGGTTCGAGTTCCAGCTGCTCCACTTCCAATCCAGCTCTCTGCTGTGGCCTGGGAAACAGTGGAAGATGGCTCAAGTCCTTGGGCCCCTACACCCACGTGGGAGACCTGGAAAAAGCTCCTGGCTCCTGGTTTCAGATTGGCACAGCTCCAACTGTTACACCAATTCAGGAGTGAACCAGTGGATGGAAGACCTCTCTCTCTCTCCCTCTGCTTCTCTCTATCTGTAACTCTTTTAAATAAATAAATTTTAAAAAACTTTTTAAAAAAATGAAATCCTGTCTTTTGCAACAAAGTAGAAACCACTATACTTAGTGAAATAAGCCAGTTCCAAAAAGACAGATGTCGTATGTTTTCCCTGATCTGGGGTAATTAATAGAATACCTAAAATGTAATGTATTGGAGTGAAATGGACATTTTGAGATCTGATGATTATTTGCAACCCTTGTCTTTATTGTTGAGGAACAGTTTTTATTTTCTTCATATTATTTGTTGAACTCTTTACTTAGTGTAGGGTTAATTTTATGAGTATAAAGTAAACTGAAAACAGATCTTTGTAAGAATTAAGAGTGGGGGCTGGTGCCACAGCTCACTAGGCTAATCCTCCACCTGCAGTGCCAGTACCCTGGGTTCTAGTCCCAGTTGGGGCGCCGGATTCTTTCCTGGTCGCTCCTTTTCCAGTACAGCTCTCTGCTGTGGCCTGGGAAGGCAGTGGAGGATGGCCCAAGTCCTCAGGCCCTGCACCCACATGGGAGACCAGGAAGAGGCACCTGGCTCCTGGCTTCAGATCGGTGCAGTGTGCCGGCCGTAGCAGCCATTTGGGGGGGTGAAACAATGGAAGGAAGACCTTCCTCTCTGTATCTCTCTCTCACTGTCTAACTCTGCCTGTAAAAAAAAAAAAAAAAAAACAAAAAACAAAAAAGAATTAAGAGTGGGAACAGGAGGAGGAGGAGGAAGGGTTGGAGCATGGGCAACAGGAAGGGTAGGGTGGGAAATAGCACTATGTTCCTAAATCTGTATAATGAAACTTATATACCTTAAATAAAATTAAAACAAAAGACTGATCTCCTATGGTTGTTGTCATTCCTATTACCAGAATTCAGTCCAGACCTCTGTTGTACACAATGATACAAAAGGCTCACACAGTTCAGAAATCCTGAGTGTCCTCTGCTAGATTTTCTCTGAACTTGGAACTTTTTTTTTTTTTTTTTTTTTGGACAGGCAAAGTGGACAGTGAGAGAGACAGAGAGAAAGGTCTTCCTTTTTCCGCTGGTTCACCCCACAATGGCCGCTGCAGCCGGCGCACTGCACCGATCCAAAGCCAGGAGCCAGGTGCTTCTCCTGGTCTCCCATAGGGTGCAGTGCTTGGGCCATCCTCCATTGCACTCCCAGGTCACAGCAGAGAGCTAAACTGGAAGAAGGGCAACCGGGACTAGAACCCGGTGTGCCGGCGTGGCTAGGCGGAGGATTAGCCTAGTGAGCCGCAGCGCTGGCCTGTTTTCTTTCTTTCAGTCAGCAAATATGTGTTAAGGGACTTCCCAGCTAGTTACCAGGCAGTGAGAAGGCACAGCTATAAGCAGTTTCACATTTCACTGGGACATTGCAGACAATATAAAAATAACTGATTTGTCAGTTGCTAATGAGTATAGTTTAAAAAGGAATACTGGGGCAGCACTGTGGTACAGTGGGTTAAAGCCCTGGCCTGAAATACCGGCATCCCATATGGATGCCAGTTCTAGTCCCGGCTGCTTCTCTTCCCACCCAGCTCTCTGCTGTGGCCTGGGAAAGCAGTAGAAGTTGGCCCAAGTCCTTGGGCCCCTGCACCCACGTGGGAGACCAGGAAGGGGATCCTGGATCCTGGCTTCAGATCAGCATAGCTCCAGCCATTACAGCCATCTGGGGAGTGAACCAGTGGATGGAAGACCTCTCTCTCTCTCTCTCTCTCTCTCTGCCTCTCTGTAACTCTGCCTTTCAAACAAGTAAAACAAATATTTTTTAAAAATAAAAAAGGAATAAATACCAACAATATAAGGAGTATCACACAGCAGTATATTCTTCATTTTTTTGTTTTGTTTTTTACAGTCAGATGGACAGTGAGAAAGAGAGAGACAGAGAGAAAGGTCTTCCTTTGCCGTTGGTTCACCCCACAATGGCCACTGTAGCCGGCATGCTGCGGCCGGCGCACCGCGCTGATCCGAAGACAGGAGCCAGGTGCTTCTCCTGGTCTCCCATAAGGGTGCAGGGCCCAAGCACTTGGGCCATCCTCCACTGCACTCCCGGGCCACAGCAGAGAGCTGGCCTGGAAGAGGGGCAACTGGGACAGAATCCAGCACCCCAACCGGGACTAGAACCCGGGGTGCCAGCGCCGCAGGCGGAGGATTAGCCTAGTGAGCCGCGGCGCTGTCCCCTATCTTTTTTATTTAATATTTATTTAATTATTTGAAAGTCAGAGTTACACAGAGAGAGGAGAGGCAGAGAGAGAGAGGTCTTCCATCCGCTGGTTCACTCCCCAGATGGCCGCAACAGCCAGAATTGCACCCATCCGAAGCCAGGAGCCAGGAGCTTCTTCCAGGTCTCCCACGTGGGTGCAGGAGTCCAAGCACTTGGGCCATCTTCCACTGCTTTCCCAGGCCATAGCAGAGAGCTGGATTGGAAGTGGAACAGCCGGGTCTTGACCCAGCACCCATATGGGGTGCTGGCGTTTCAGGCCAGGGCATTAACCCACTGTGACACAGCACCAGCCCCCCAGAAATATATTCTTGATATGTAAAATTCTGGCTATAGATAAGATAAAGACAGAATAGAAAAATAACCACTTCAGAGGGCTATGGTAATTGATATTCCACTTTAAAAGATTAGTATTCTGCATTTGACCTAAAGATACTTGAACTTGAAAATCATGATTTAGCAAAGACTCAAAATACATTTCTAATGCTGGCCACTTCAATAAGGTGTGAATCATGTCAACATTTCTTTTATGTTGAAACTGAAGCCATTCCATATTACCTCAGAGTTAGCTACAAACATTGTAATATAGACACGTTTTTCATCTTACTGATCAGTTCTACCTTTTCTATTAAGTACTGGTTTTATTATCCATTCCTTGTCTATATTTTACTCTCTTCCTGTATTTTTCATTCCACTCTACAAAGTATAATACTTAGTCCTGGGGTCAGCAATGTGGTGCAGCGGGTTAATGCCCTGGCCTGAAGCACCTGCATCCCACATGGGTGCCAATTTGATATCTGGCTGCTCCACTTCCGATCCAGCTCTCTGCTATGGCCTGGGAAAGCAGCAGAAGATGGCCCAAGTCCTTGGGCCCCTGCACTCACTTGGGAGAGCCGGTAAAAGTTCCTGGCTCCTGGCTTCAGATCGGCACAGCTCCGGCCGTTGCAGCCAATTAGGAAGTGAACCATTGGATGGAAGACTCCCACTTCCTCCCCACGCCCCTCTCTCTCTGCCTCTCCTCTCTCTGTGTTAACTCTTTCAAATAAATAAATAAATCTTTTTTAAAAAAATACTTAATCTCATTTCTTGAACTTCTTTTATTGCATTACAGCCTATAGACAACCAAAGAAGGCAATCATGAGAAAAAATTTTAAATAAATTGCTCCTTATAGCCACTATTCAGGTCCAACAACAAAACATTCCCATCCCATCTCAGATTTTTTCACAACAGCCTCCTAACCCCAACCACTATTTTGAGAGCTAACATTCTAATTAATTTTGCCTACTTTTG